TTTTTTTTACATACATAGTATATTCAAAAACCCAACACCAAAATCCAATCCTAAAGGTCATAAAAAGACATCTATAAAGACATCTATAGCTTGATTTTTAGCTCTGGCCAAAATATTCCCAGCACAATGAGGAGAAAATAGCTATCTCTTATTTCACCAGCTTACACCATCTATGTTTTTTAGCCATTTTTATCTCTTGTCTATCTTAAGCCACATCTCTGACCTTTGCACAGTGGACAGGAGATGAAAGAGGAGAAACATGGTCCTCTTTATGTGGGGAGATCTATACAACTGCAGCTCTGGTTGATGATCTCTTTCCCCATATTCTCTTCTGCACAGCTATACCCTTCATGAAATCATATCACCACATGGTAATGCCTACTCTGCTGCTTATACTAACAGATATTATGAATCTCCAGGCTGATTCAGCTATTTTCATTTTAAACTCAGTAATGGATTGGGACCTTGATCACTGTTCAGATTAAAAAATCTGGAAATAGCTAAATATCATCAACAACTTAGAGACAAAACTAAAGCTGTAAAATAAAATTTGCAAAACAATGAAAGACACTTGTATTGTCCACCCTATAGAAGTAAGAGAAAAAAACTGGTGTAAATTGAAAAGGTGAATGACAAAAATTACTGTGTCTTGGTGTTCCAATGATACTCAGTGGATAGCAAGAGAATAGCTGAAGTAAAGATGACAAAAATTACAGTGCTGAGAAATGACTGTAATAGACATCAATCCAGGTACTTTCATCTGAAAGTGACTACTTTTCAGTCATCAGAAAAGCATAAATGGGGCATAAAATCAGGTAGATTTCTGCCAAGGACCTAGAGGGATAGGTCCCTTGCTACCACAATACCTGCTACACAGAGGGCACCCTGCTGTAGCTGTCAAATTCTCAAGCTGTCGGTTAGAAAGAGCTGTAAGTTAGAAAGAATTATTTGATCATGGTTACTACAGGACATTCTTCTGTCATTGACCAGTGTGGCATAATATCCCTCTCTGGTCTCCCTGAACAATTCACATTATCTCTTTGCCTGTTTTCTTAAAAAACATCTGTTTTGCCAGGATGAAGTTGAGTTGATATCTCAACAGCCTGCCTGTCTCTGAGCCCACTAAGGATGCTTCCACTTGTGACTTGGTGGCAGGTGTTTCCAAAGCTTTCCTGCTAATCAGGTTGCTTGCCAGCAGAAATGCTCACATTTGCCCATAGCTGTGATGGACAAGCTCTCTGTGGCTCTTTTTCTTGTTTTAAATCATGTTCCATGAAGGGACTAACTGGGTGAGGTTGGCCCCTTTAGAAAGCAGAAGATTCCTATTTGTCAGGGGATTGGTTTACTACTGGAACTGGAGTTTCTGTGGCACAAGAGGGACTCTGAGACCTTCTCAGAGGAGTGAGCCAACAGGTCATGCATAGGCTGAGAAACTATTCAGAGTGGAAAACTGGGACTCTCAGATGGTAATAATAAATACCCCAGGACCAGAAGGGATTGCTTTGTGTTTGTTGCAACTCAGGAATATTCTGTTTTGTTGGAAAACAGCTATAGGAGTAATCATGTATTTACAAGGATAGACTGGGCAGGAATCCTCTTGGCTACATCAGAAGAACATTATTACAGCCATGGTAAGGCAATTGTTCATTTTGCTCTCTGCTCTGTCTCCTACATCACACATGCAAAGATGCAGGAAAATGCATATACTCTCAAAAGCATTCTGAAAATCTAAGGATTTACCAATCACATCATCCTTATCCATATTTCTGGAAAAATTCTGGAAAGAACTGTAAACTATTTTCAATAAAGAGCTTCCCTTGACAAAAAAACCCCATACTGACTTCTTCACAAAAAAACCCAAGGTTGACTCTTGCCAATTAAATCAAATGTATCACATATCCATTATTTTCACTCTTTATTATAGTTTCTACTAATTTTCTCTTCATTTCTCTCCTTTAAAAACAGACTTCATGTCACCCCTGAGTCTTCAGATGCAGATGCAATTTAAGTAAAAGGGCATATACCATGATTAGTAATTCAGCTATTTCATCCTTGATTTCCTTTGGATCCCATGAGTGAATATACCCTGGTCCCGGGGATGTGTGACTGTTAATTTTTTCAGTCAGTTCCAGCACCCCTTCAGAATCACTTCACTTGATGAGTCCCCCATAAAGAATGATTTTTCAATAGGAATGTCCCTCATTTCTTCTGCCATGAACAGTGATGCAGACAAAGCTTCTACCACCTCTGAAATTGCTTTGTGTTCTCTGAACATGTTTTTAATATCCTGTTCATGCGTGGACCTGACAAATTTTCCGGCAGACCCTTTGTTTCTCATGAGTATTAATAAATACTTATTAGTTTTGATTACTTTTGCTATTTGTTTCTTCAGTGTCCTTGCTGTTTCTTCTTTGTTTCTAGACATACAAAGGGTGTAAATATCTACATTCTTTCCTACACAGCCTCTATTTTAAAGCAACTGGTTTAGTCCATCTTTCATTGAAATCTCGTTTATTTGAGTTTTGAAACATTTCAGTCTTTGAGACATCACTCCAGGATGAAGCCCAGGCAAAGCCTTCTTGGAGAACTGGCCAATGTAGGGTCTCTTCATAATGCTGTTCTTCTGCATCCTGTTAAAGGGTCAAATTTGATTTCCACGTCTCCCAAGCAGGAGTCATCAGGGTCTACCATCTGCACAGATCACAAGGAAAGAAAAAATTTCTAACTTGCAAGAAAATATTTATTTGATGCTCTTGAGTACCTGTTCTTTTTCAGATACTGTACACTTTTTGTCATTGATTCGTACACCCACCAGCCTAAGTCTCGAGAGAGGACATCTGTTGCTGAGCTGTTTGTGTGTAAGCCTGGACTTTCATCTGAAGAAACCACACAGGAAATAAAACTCTACTGTCCAGTTTGTTCTTGCTATCCATGCAAAATGTAACAGTTTAAGGTCTCACTGCTTTAAAAGAATACACCAGAACACATCTGTAAGGGTGAAGGATGAAGGAAGCAAATACCAAAGATGAATTTCATTACTACCAGGAGACAAGTTCCAGGTTGCATTCACCTCAGAGACAGTAGCTCTAATCTGGATTCCAAGGGGCAAAGGGGCAAACCCTTCACAAAAAAGCCATGGAAATTCCATGGTTCATCTCTGTTATGCAGCAACCTCTCAAGACTGGTGTCCCAGGAAACTGTTAAGATGTGGAGGCTTGTGAATGTGAGCTCAATTGAGATGACATTTTAAAAGCAGTTTTTGGAAACCAAATTAACTATAAGTCTCAAAAAATTTTCCAAATGTAGCATTCATTTAAAATTATTTAGCTTCCCTTCACTCATTTATTTATACATAAACAAGCCACTCTCACTCATCCTATACAAGTAGACATAAACAAATTAATTAATTGTTTTCTACAACAATCTTAAAAAGGAAAGAGTAAGAGAGATTTTCTACTTCTAAGTACTTGGAAACTGCTAGTATAGGTACTTGATAATTGCCAGAGTAACAAGTAAGAAGCAAGTCTTAAAATGGAAACACGTAACATTTCCTTGACTTGCAGGAGATGCATTAGAAATCAATCATTCTTCACTTGACAAGGCTAACAGGAGAAAGTATTATATCTGTAAGACAAATCATATGGTAGGTATAGAGGCCAATCAGTAACAACTTCAAAACAGTGGTTTTACCCCATTCATGGTATGTGTTTGAATTGCCCTTGATATTCCTTCTAAAAGGCTATTCAGATTTCCAGCCAAATTTAATTAACAACCAGTTCAAACCAATCTGATTTGGTGCTAGCTTTATCCCCTGTACAGGTAACTGCTCTGTCCTCAGTGAAACATTTATAGACAGCAGCTGCTCTCAGTCTGGGTTCAGTTCAGCTGTCTCTTCTGATCACACCCAGGTCTCGCCATCTCCTTCCCTCTGAACCACACAACAATCACTTCTCTGGGTCACCGTAGGCAAATAAGTGATTGTGTTGTGGGGACAATTCAGATTAAGAAGATTTTGCAATGCCCGTTCATGCATTGCTTCGCTCAGCAGCTGTGTGACTCTGCCAACAGCAATCAGTAATGGAGCCACTATTAGAGTGACAGGAACGGATCTATATTCCCAAATCTCCTGAAGAATATAAATAAATTACATCTGATCTAGAGGGATACATAATATGCTTGCTCACTGACATACATTTTTAAAATAATTACTATAGTTGTTTAAATAAAAATGTACAGAGCCTGGTAAAAGACTCTTGCTTTGAAGACCTAAGTTCTACAGCAATACAGAGTATTATTCTCATCCTTAATAATTATCATAGTAATAATAATAATATAAGCCCTTCTATAACAAAGTACAATATTAAAGATAATGTTGCAGCAAGCAACATTAAGCAAGGTATGGAAATGACTCAAAGACTCAGCAAAACCCTTAAAGGAATATCTCTTATGTGATTTGTATTTGAGAACCCATTATTTCTTTAAAGAAAGTTATCTCTGGCTCATAATAAGCTGGTGGTGAAATAATTTTCCTTTCTACACCAGCTGAGGTAGTTGCTCATGGTAGGGAGAACAAGAGTTGTTTATTTTATCTGTGTTAAATACAGAACAGTCTTTATCCACCATTCTAAATCAGAACTCAGGTGTATCTATATATGTTTCCAATGCATATCTACTTACAGATCTCAGCACCTTCCACTCCAGAGGAAGTATTCTTTCTGCTGCAATGTGAATACAATTCTGTCCCTACATCTATAAGAAACTGTTGGTTTCCTTGGGTATTTTATTTGCAGAATTATAAATTAAATTACCTCCCCTTGGAATTAAAAAAAAAAAAAAAATTCCCATCTAATTCATCTAATCCTCTTTAGAAAAAACCTGTAACATTTTTTCAAACAAATGCTAAATTCTGAGAGCAGACCTCTGCCACTTCAGATGAGCTGCACCTTTCATCTTGCAGAGGTCAATGCAGTTCAGTGGAATGATAATGGCCGAGTCTCTTATGTTATTTTTTTAGAGTATCATCATCCCCCAGCAGCAAGGCTGCTCAGAGCAGCATTCTGTACTGGGTAACACATTGTCATGGCAACCAAACAAATGGGTCATCCCACTCCTGCTCACTCCCATTGTTCCACGGTGAGAGAAATCACAGCAGGAGCAGGGAGGTGTCTCAGCTTCTGAGACCCAGCGAAGTTTCCTTCCCAATCTGCTCTTGGGCATGGCACCTCTTGGGGCAGCACCAGACCTGTGTGCTGCCAGGGATGTGCACATACACAGGTCCATGGTCCATGGGCTCAGCAGGCACACAAGGGCTCAGGAGCAAAAGCAACTCCCAGGAAACAGTAATGATCTCCTACTATAAATTATTAGATAATAGCAATAAACACACTACTAAAACAATGACAACAAAGTGGGGATGGCCAAGCCAATCTCATGATGAAATTACCTGGGCAATGTGGTGATTCAGGGGGACAAGTGGATGAGGGAGTTCTATGAGGATTGTGAAGTGGTGTTTCTTGAACACTGCTTTCTTCCAGCTCTGTCTATCCTCTGCTTTCCTCACTGCTCCAGTCTTGTTCTTGTTCTTCTTCCTCACAGTTCATCTCATTCCCATTCTTTTCTGTGTTCTGTAATAACCCTTTGCTGAAACTTCATCTTCTGCTCCTGTGGTCCTATAGGCTCACACCCACTCTGCCACTCTCCATAGCTTCTGATAGGACTGTTTCTGAATCACCCATATTTCACACTGCAAGATACATTCTCTCACAGGGCTTTACTTTCAGGCAGATGAGAACTTAATCAAGTTTACAGCTATTCCAGCTGGAACTGTATGTGCCAGACATCTGGATGAAGAAATTATTTTCTTGAAGTTTACATTATTACTGTCAGCCAAAATTCATGAAATGTTTCCAAGATTTGGGATAGGGTTGACATGGACATGGGCCAAAATTATTGTAATTATTAAAAAATTTAAACAGATTTCCCACATTTTGCCCTATCCCCATAGTACAGAGCAGGATATGCAGTTTACCAGGACATCCTGCCTTTTTATTCAGAGCATGATTCCTTTTTTACTTACAAATATCTGTTCTTTTCCAAATAAGATATAACCCCTGAAATATTGTCATTTGCACATCTCAACAGAAAATTCTTAGTGTTTGCAACATGAGACCTCAACAAATATTGTTTATTCTGTGCATGTTGCAGGCCAGAGACTGAAGTGCGGTGTTCCCCAAGGAGAAGATGAGACTGAGATAGTCTGAAAAGCTAAGCAGACTCTAGAGATAGGAGCTGGATCAAGAGGAAACCCAAGACCAGTAGATGAGAGATGAGTTTAAGATGATGAGCAGAATCACTGAACCATGAAATGATAAAGGGTTGGGAGAGACCTTAAGGATCATGCAGCTCCAACACCACTGCCATGGGCAGGGACAACTTCCACTACACTAAGTTGCTCAAAGGCCCTTCCAATTGACCTTGAACACTCCTAGGGATGCAGCAACCTGTTGGCAACCTGTGCCAGTGCTTGTTACCTTCACAGTAAAGAACTCTTCCTTATATTTAATCTCAGTCTACCCTCTATCATTTTAAGACATTACCCCTATCCCCTGATAATGAATCCCCCATCATCTTTCCTGTAGAAGAAAAAGATGGCTCAAAGCCAGTGAGTAGATAATTTCAGAGTGAGGACTTAAGGATAGGAACAACAGAAAGTTTAGGAAAGAAGAAAGTGGGGATGTTTCTAAAGGAAAACTGATGTGAGAAATCCAGGAAAGCATAATGGAGATTGAGCAATAGAATACTCTAAAGGAGAAATGCTGGAAACATGGAGCAGAAGATTGATCTTAAGGAGAAACAGCAAGAACTATGCCTGGAATGGAATTAAAAATTCATGTCTCACCATTCACATGCCCTCAGTGAACATGTGTAAAATTCCTCAGCAAAGGCTCTCATTGCTTCATCAAGAATGAAAATCTGCTATGACTGGGAGTTACCAGCTTCAAGCTGAAGCATTCTGTGAAGTAGCTGTAATTGTTGCCAACATGCAGGCAAACCATGAAGACATCAGCCTGATATCACATTATGGGATATTATGCTCCTGTTTCTAATTCAAAAACAAATAAGTCATCAAAAAAAGCTAAAAGTCATAATATTAGCTGCAAGCTACTTTTAAAGCATCACGAAGCTCACATAACATTGGCAATGCACTTCTTGCATTTTCTCCCTGCAATCTCTTTTCAAACCACTTGTATGACTTTTTATGGTGGAAGGCTTATATAAATGTCATGCACTTTAACTGCAACAGGAATCAGGGCTCAGTGCCATAGAACAGTGTGCTGTGAAAATGAGCCAAGGCTGTGCTGTGAAAGGTGCCCAGTCCACAGGCCCACAGGCCAGAAGCTCTGTACAGAGGGAAGCAGGAGGAGAAAAACTCACCTCTGC